GTAAGAAAAATCACAATTGGACCGGGCATCATCACGTGTAGACCGATCAACAGGTGAAAAATCACATTTTAGCCGTGCAGTAAGTGAAAAGTCACGTCTGAGCCGAGCAGTACATACAAGTGAACACTATGACCAAGCACTAAGTGCAAATGAATATTTTGACCAAGCAAATGAATATTCTGACCATGCTATAAGTGTAAATGAGCATTTTGACCAATCCATAAGAGAAAAAATCCCTCTGAACATTGCAATAAGCAAACCAACAAACCAAAAGTCATTTCTTGAAGATTGTGCATGTCTTCTCCCTGACATAATCATAGTTTCGGCTGCCACACCTAGGGCATGTCCCATCCCATAGCCATAATGACTAATCTCTCCCTTTCCATAAATAAGTCTTCCTTGCCCATAAATAAACACTCCTTTACTCATTGTTCATGTAAGTTATTATATTTTCCCAACTGTGTGTACAAGAACTTCCCAGTAGGGCATCCGGCGACAACCTCATACCCGGCGTGCCCCCGTGCTCTTCCTCGCGACCACCTCGCTATCAAAAATGGGTAAGTTATACGGTCACTCCTCTCGTTCTCTACTAGCCTTGATGTATTTCTTCTTCCCTCCGATGTGGATCATTGCCCGTGGCTCGTCTTTCTCTTCCATTGTTATTATTTCTTTTTTCCTTTTTTTTACGGGATCGGCATAATTCCAGGCGGTGCCCGTCGTATTTACGCCATGATTGGAATATCGCGGCCGCTTATTATAAATGTCGGCCCACCCGTACTGCTTGTCTTTCCTTTGCTGTGCGCTTTTTAGAAAGAGGGCACAATTTTTTTATATGAGTGTGGCCTTGCATTTCAGTTTGGCCCTCATACACATGACAACTACATGCCCATATCTAATATATTGTATCCTTGTTACTCCGTAGTAAGCACCGACGTGTCCGATGCTACGACCACGTCTTCGAAATCTGACCATTCCGAGTCTAGCTCGAGCTCCTCTCTCCAATCGCTTGGAACTCACCCGAGTACACTCATACAAACCGCACCCAATAGGTCGCCCCTACAACTTCGAGACGAGGTTGATGGGGACATCCCATGGGAGGATCTAACCCCTATAATCGATAACAGGGCACTCTCTTTAACCTGTAGCCCTCAAAAAGGCGTCCCTCTACCAAATTCCGAACTACGCGTCCTGAAGTCGAAAATATCCGTAGATGCCGAGGAAACCGTCAAGTCCACCATAGAACTAGCTCTGGATGCCATAGTAGTCCAACAAACTAACCCTTTCTTTTTCGCCACCGAGCCGAAAATAGAAGACTTTAAGCGGTTTTGCGAACTCCCCTCCGATTGGGCATTCCGGACGCCCTCACCGGGCGACTCTTATAACCGCCCCCCACACGGCTATTACACCTTCTTTATCGATCAAATAGTTAGCGGCCTTCGCTTTCCTATCCGCCCAGAGTTACTCGCATTATCCGATCTTTAAAATTTTTCTATTAATCAACTCGTTCCCAACAGCATTCGCTTTCTCGTAGCATACACGATACTCAGTTATTATCACTTCAAGAAGGTAGATCTCGAATTCTTTTATTATTGTTATGGCCTCAAGCCCCACCAAAGCGGATCATACTACCTTAGCGCCCACAAATCAGTCGATTACCTTAGGGAACTAAACACAAAAATAAGTCATTGGAAGACCCGATTTTTCTTCGTGAAACTGCCCGAAAAAACCTTTAGCTTTAGCCCGGAATGGTTAACCGTTGCCCCTGATCAGCCCCGGCCTAGGAAAATAGCCCAATTTCGCGCGCTTGCGGCCGCGTGGAATAAAGTCCCATATCACATTGAGAAGCTTACCACCCCAGATGAGCTCCGCTCCTTTTACGGACTGACTAATAGAAAAGTCGATCCCTTTGATCTAGGTATAGCCCGATTAATTTAGTGCATTGA